TATGAGTTTAGAGTCAACATGCGTGGATTGAGAATAGCACATACCTTCAGCGGGGTCCATACAGTCAGGGGCTGCATCTTCGGGGTGGGGGGATTTAGATAACAGCTTCTTGAATCGATGGTAGTCGTATCGAGAATGATTCACGATGTCCGCATGGACAATGGAATTGCCCGTCCGGTTGTCTGAATATTTTCACTGTGCGATAATATTAAGGTGAGTATATGCGGGTCAATTGCGCATATATGGCACTAACCTGCCTCCTCTCCCCATGAACAATTGATGAAAGCGGTGTGGTACTTGTTCTTGTGCGTTTTCTCTTTCTCTCCAGCTTGATAGTTGGGACGCGGGCAATTTGGTTTTGGACACCTGTAAGGTTTTTGGTGAGATTTAGGACTCGCCCTAACTTAGGGGACACATACTGTTTGGGCATTGATAGAAACCAGTGGAGCGTAAGGCAGCCTGGAGGACTGCAATGGTGGTTTTAGATTAAGGCTATGACGCTGTAATTATGTATGTGACAGTATATATAATTGCAATGATGTATGCTATTATTAAATTTGCGTTGAAAAGCTATTTTTAATTTTAAAGACCAAAGTAGCTTTAAGCGTCATCAATGTAAGTAACGCTATTTTTAAATGCCAAAGTAGCAATACACGTCATATATGTAATGAATGTGGATGGGCTGTTTGTAGGAAAGGGTCACAGAAGTGTTTGGGCCCTATCATTCAGCGGGATGCGCGGCAGAGACGAAACGCCCGGTTGTAACAGTAGACCTGGCTGTGATTGGGGTTTCAGAGGGAAACCCTCTGGATGATGAGGGACTGGTCGGGGCGATATACCAGACCTCACGCAGATCTACTTGAAGGTACGCCTTAGCACCGAAATCTCACGCAGATTTCTAGTGGGTGCGCCGAAGTATCATCATGGTCAGAGGCCCCTCCGTCAGCCCAATGCAACAGCCAACAGCCATATTGGCTGCACATGTTTACTGCAGTCTAGGAACTTGTAGGGATGAGCATGGCTGTCAAACGTGGAGCGAAACCGCCAGACTCACAGTGAGAGTGACAAGGAAGGTATGGCACTCGTACACCGAAAATGTCGAGGGATATTGCATTGCGGTTGAGTCACATTTGTTGGTCCGGAGCACACCAGACCTCACGTAGATCATTCTTGCGGTGTACTGGAGCTCACGTAGCTCCGCCTCAAATGGGCCTGACCTATGACCTACTTGACAATGCGAATGCCCAGCATGAACCTAACAGCGTCGTAGTGGTAACGGTTGAAGAGAAGAGGATTATAACAAGGAAGGTATGGCACTCGTACACCGAAAAGTCGAGGGAATTGCATTGCGGTTGAGTCACATTGTTGGTCCGGAGCACACCAGACCTCACGTAGATCATTCTTGCAGGTGTACTGGAGCTCACGTAGCTTCCGCCTCAAATGGGCCTGACCTATGACCTACTTGACAATGCGAATGCCCAGTATAACCTAACAGCGTCGTAGTGGTAATGGTTGAAGAGAAGAAGATTATGTAATATGGTTGGTGACATTCATTTATGGGGATGAACTAATAGGCTTATGTAATCTTTGAGGCGGACAGCAAAGGGTATCAATAACCTCGTCCCATCAATATAATAGGGTAGCGAGAAAGCGGATGTAGCGAGCGCAAGAGCGTTTGGAGATGTGAGGTGAGGCCTGTGAATTCATGGGGTAGTTAGGGCAAGTAGAGTGAGAAGGAGGGAAAAACCTACAGAGAGTTTCGAGGATCTCATGGCGGATTTGGTTGAAGCGTTCTTTAAGATCTATGTGGTCGCTCTCGGAACCAGGTTCGTCTGCTGCTATAGGGCTATCCGTCCATTAGCTTTCTCTCAGGTTAAATATTGAGGTAAATGACTTGCCTGCCGAGCCAATCCAACCTCTCTTGCACGCATGCACAAAAAACATGGTCGCGAGGCGGCTGCACCGCGCCATCTTCCCAAGCACTGAATTGTCGTTGATGAATCGTATGAGCCAGCTGAGCCCATCTTTGCGAGAGGTGAGTTGAGAGGTGAGGTCATGATATGAGGATCGCACGGCTGGTTCTGTGTAACCAGATCTCAGTCACAGAGAAACAGAGGAGAGTAGTAGAAATAGGGAATAAACGCGACTTACGCCTCATCAAATGTTTTAGCCCTCCCTAGATCCACTCGAGCACGCATAAGCACGCCTGCTATCAGTATGAGCACGTCCTGGGGCCCTGCCCTGAGTCTATTGGAAGTATCAGAATTGTTCGCTGAATTATGATAGGATGATAAGAGGACATACCCCGAGCACAAAACACAATCACATTCACGATCGCTACGACTGCACCTCCCCCGCCGTCGAGCAACTAGTCTCGCATCCGTGCCAGAATGAACCTCCTCAATACGACTTCGTGCACCCAATAATGCGCAAAGCACGCAGGTGAAGAGAGGACTCTGGGAGATACCGGGTATGGTTATGTACGACAAGATCAGCGTCTGTCGACCAGTTTAGCGTGACGAGACGGATATGCGAGTCGAGAATCAAAATGTGCTATTAACAACATCCACAGCCAACAATATTAATATTGTTAAGAGTGTGTAACGAGGAAGCGCAAGAATCTAAACATGAAGTCCACGGCGTGTCTATGATTTGATTATACCAACGCCCCTAGCAGATAAGTGTAAGCAGTGTTGCTCTGGCAAGGGCTTGTCGTCGGGGCAAGTTGATGGCGTCGAGGAAGTGGACGTGTTTGAAACGTCTTCGCGGGCGGTAGAAAAAGACGGAGAGACCAAGGATGAGGAGAACGCCGCTGTTGTTGGTGGCTGCACTGATGACCGTAGGCATAACAGTTGCGGACTGATGGAGTGTTAGAGGGAGTAGGAATAACAAAGTAGGGACGTACTATGATCCGGCGTATGCCTCAAAGGAAGACGATGGAGAGGTTGACAAGAACTTGCGATGTGACCGTTTCTAAGCAATTGTGAGATAACTTCAAGTGCGAAAACTAACTACTTACGTTAGAGTTCTGCAGTGGGAATGAATCGGCCAGACATGTGTCCACCAATACCAGTCGTCTGCGCTGTACTTTGACCCTGCGACGCATCAGCGTAAATCAGTAAGGTCATCTGCATGCGCTTACTCGCCGTCGTCCAACTCGATTGACGATTGCGCAGAAAGGTGAATGACGCAAGGGAAGAAGAGCGCGGCGAGAGGAGGAAGGAAAGCAAGTACACGTGCGAGGGGTATTGCAACATGCAAAATATTGCGTATCTGTCACCAGATAGGTGATGTGAAATGTGCTGCGCGTCTGAATTTTATAAATTGACAAGGTTAATGAATTGAATGATATGAGCGAGGAAGAACGGACCTATGCCCAACGGGGAGATGACGACTTGAACGATGTCGGGAGCGTGATAATGATGAGAATTTGTACGAGGTTCAGGAGGTTGAGAGATACTAAAGGTAAGATCAGCGTTTATATTCGTGATAGAAACGAAAAACAAAAATAAGAAGTGGATTGGAAAGGAGAAGCGCGTTTGAAAAGAGATGAGACGAAAACACTCACAAAGAACTGTCCTGTTCAAAGTCTGATACTCGCCAATAGTCTCTGCGTCCCTTCACGCCTAATACTCCTGATGCCGGAATGCTTGATAGTCTCATAAATGAAGGAGACAGTCGGTATGGATCATGTGAGTGACCTGCTCATTTGTGCAATTAAAACCCACATCGTGTAAAAAATAAAGCAGCAGTTAGCACTCACCACATACTGCTAATTCATCCGCCCAAATATAACTCGCGATAATGAGTCCAAACGCGGCACCCATCGCAAGTTCAAACCTGACGACAAACACGACAAGGGCGGGAAATGGTTAGTTGGTGTAACAAGTTGTAAATGGAAATACGTACTGCGATGAATTACAGCTTTGGGTAGCGGGAGGACCAGAGATGGGGCGCGATTTGAGATAGAAGAGTGAAGAGAACACGCCATGAGAGGTCGACGGCTACTCTACGTGGATTCGACTCCATCGTCGAGCTCGATCTTGAGGTAAAGGCGAGTCATGGGCACGGGCCCAAAAAGCGGGGCCCCACATAATTACATGGTATGGTGGTGGTACTGAGTGAAGAGGAAAAGATTATGTAAGATGGAAGGCAGTAATTCCTATAGGGATCTGCGACGTATATTACATAAGCTGCACAAACAACCGTGCGTCCCTACAAACACACAGCGTTGTGTTGATTATGTAATCCAATGCTCTTTGCTCTTAACATGTATCACGCACTGAGGTTACAACACAAGGTAAGCAAAGTCTATTAACTTTAAGCTAATGTCTTAGTTTGCAGGGTTATAGTGATGCATCAAGTCTTCGTTTGGGCTCAGTAAGTGAGCAATAGTGAAGCTTATGAGCGCAAAGGCATGGGCCACCAGGTGAGTTGTGACTTCTTGCAGAGACGAATTATTAACCAATCTTCTAACCAGACAAACCGTTACTTTACATGTCCTTGAGACTTTGTAACGCGCTTACTGCGCTAGTGCATGTGCGTTTAGGGTGAGTGCGACCTAATGAACATTCTGTGCATTACTGAAATAGTACAGTGTTACAGGACGTTAACGCGTGAGTCAATTTTTGACCAGCGTCACTTAAACTGTGCTCGTGCGGCGTCTCTTATACTCTGCTCGTGCGGCGTCTCTTATACTCTGCTCGTGCGGCGTCTCTTATACGCTGCTCGTGCAGCGTCGCCGTTACATTGTACTTGAGACTTTGTAATGTGCTTACTGCGCTAGTGCATGAGACTTGAAGCTAATGTCTACCTCGTTTCTATGCTCCAGGTATGTCTCTTTTGTTTATCATTTCCATCGAGTCTGATCTTCTTGCATTCAGCGCGTCTGATGCTTAGCGTACGTTCAACGCGGCACATTCTTTTGCACACGCTTGGCTTCGATAAGCCTATGCGTCTTGCAGCTGCAGTGTCCAACCGCAAGTTGGAGTCTGGTCAGTCCTCCTTTTGAATGCTGACAATTTGTTCAATTTCATCGTTCGTCCCAAGTAGTCTCCCATCCGCTTTTTTATGCGCTAAGTGCCCAGGCTCGCGTTTGGAAATTCTGAACCGTGAGTCCAGCACATTGAGCTCTACGAGCTCTGGCATACGCACATCCTTGTCCTTGCGCATTCACAGGTATTTCAATCACGCTTTGTACGTTTATTCCACTTACTTAGGCGGTTTTCGTAGTTCCTCCGCTCAATTCCAAGGCTCGTACACAACATTCATCCCCGACGTGCGAGCCCACGCCGTCTGTCGCCGACACACGCATTATCTTCCTCAACATATTGTTGTTCTATCTGACATGCTCATCTCAAGTGATCGAAGAAGGAGGCAAGGGTATGGGCGAGGTTTTCCTAGAGATGGTGAGTCCGCCCTTCTAGACGTTGGGCGTGATTTCACACTGATCCTCAATGTTTCACCAGGTACTGCTCCTCGCGCCCCCGTACATGACCTACATCACTGTTCACCCTTGGGCGCTCGCGCACCTCGACGTTCTCAGCTCGCCGTCATAGCTCACGCCCCAATTCTCGTGAGAGCAAAGACCTTGTGGAGGTGCATATGCATGAGTTGTTGAATCGAGTAGCACCTAAACATGTGGTAGACGTATGAGAGGAACTTTGAAGGAGTTGATTTTCGGGTAAGTTCGAGTTTTGATCTTGATACAGTTCACATTCGCACATTTGTTTAGTGGGATCCCGGACTTTAATAGCGTAACATGTTATTATTGGCGCGTTTGTAACTAGCAATGCAAAATGAAAGTCTGGTTTTTGATACCGTTAGACTTGAGACCGTTTACGGGTCATTGAGGAGCAAGTGTACCGGACCTAAGGTTGCTCGTAAGGAAACATATAAGCTCAGGCTGAAACATAAGGACTAGCCATGCGATTGAAGGGACGCACGATGTAGGGAATAAGGCTCTAAGGTGAGTAAAAGAAGTAACCCTGATGTGGCGAAGCCTAACCCTCCCTAACAGAATGTGGAGGAGGAAGATTGGTGAATAACCCTGGACACATAGGTCCAACCAACTAACTAACGGGTGCGGGGAGAATGTAAGAGTTGCTAGTACAATATGTTGATATAATAAAGTGGTATTGGATGGTATTGCTGATCCTAAGCCTAACTAACCTAACGCTAACCCCCCGAGCATGAAGATTGAGGCATTATGTAGGACCCAGAGCTCCGGGCAGCTACCTAACTGGTGCGGGGAGTAGGTATGGATCCCTAGAGTGGGATCCCAACACCGTTAGATGAGATAACCACGTGAAGAAAAGATATGGACGCACCTGCCCCCCCTCCTCCCTATACAGCGCCCAGGGGGGAATTTCGAACATATCTTTGGACAGAGAGCTCCGGGTAGCAAATTGAGTGGTGCGGGGAGTGGGTATGTATCCCTAGAGTGGGATCCTAACACCGTTAAGTGAAAAAGCCAAATGGGAAAAAGTTATGGACGCACCTGCCCCCCCTCCTCCCTATACAGCGTGCGGGGAGGTAAATTCCGGCATAACTTCGGACTGAGAGGTGCGGGCACCGACCTAAATGGTGCGGGGAGTGGATAGGAGTCTATAGAGTGGGATCCCAACAGTGCTAAGTAAGAAAACAACATGAAGAAAAGATACGGGCGAACCTTTCCCTCCTCCTCCCTCTAGAGCGCCGAGGAGGAAGATTGGGCCATAACATGGGATTCAGAGCTCCGGGAAACGAAATGACTGGCGCGGGGAGTAGATATGAGTCCCTAGAGTGGGATTCCAGCAGCGGTAGATGAGAAAACGACGTGGAGGAAAGATACAGACTCACCTTTCCCTCCTCCTCCCTTTAGAGCGCCGAGGAGGAAGATTTGGGCATAACGGGAGAAGGAAAGACGCGGGCAGCTAGATTTTTCGGCGGGGTCGTCGTTATATGCATCTCGATAGGTCCAGAAGATATCAAGTTGCCTGGAGGTCATGGTGAATATAGGCGAGGCAAGAAGGGCATCCAGAAGGGGTGGGAAAGTGAACTTTTTGCAGATGGATTTACACAACACTAACTCAATATATTGAACCCGGACTTTCGTGAGGGGAGAAGAGAATTTCGAGGGCTACAAGATGAGATAGATGTGTCTAAATAAAATGTGGAAGGAAGGGGATGAAATAAATCAAATGCTCTTTGCGCAAAAGTGCCGTCCGCATATAGATAGGTTTGGATGAGCAGGGCAACTTACCCGACTTTGAGATCCAATGCGGTCACAAACTGCGGGTTCACATGCTGCGCGCTATTGCTGCGCATGTCAAGCTCTGTTGCAGCAACTACCTGATGCTCCTAGACAGCCCACGAGATGATTGGAAAGACGACGAGCTACCCGACGAGGACATCATCAATTCGATCCAGAATGGGCGATACCAGGCTGATTGCCTGAAGGTCCTGCGGAGGCTGACTGTTGTGAGCGCCACCTGCTCCATGTGTCAACGCCCCATCGTCCATCAAGATGGAGAGCATGCCTCGTACAGTGGTGAGAATGGAGATAGCACCAATGCTGAGCAAGATGGTCCAGATGCAGGATCAAGTGAGGATGATGACGCCACGAATATGGTACATGCAATTGGCAAGGCGCACCTTGACAAGCTGTTCAAAGCAAACAAACACCTCGCTGGATCTCGGAATCGCAATTCAATAGTCCCTCGTGCCATTGGAACACACCTTCAACTCGAGCCAGAATTATCATCGGTCGTCCATGATACCGAGGACTCTCAACGCACTGTAGCTGCCACAACATCTCGGAGGCGAGTGAAAAACTGGTATCTTGGAAGCAACAGACGATTTCCACGTCCAACCGCACCAATTCCATTGGCTGCATACGGAGGTAGGAGATGGCTGCCAGACGACCATGGATTCGATGAATATGAGGGCGGACCTACCATTGAGATGATGCTGACTCCTAGGGATATCCATACGACGATGACATTCCCTGCTGGGGGGATGCAGATCTCCACCGCTTGGTTAGACTGGGTCGATTGCGGCTATCGCATCACACCAAGTTCATTCCACATTTTCTATCAATGCGACCCCACAGCAACCATGGACCACATCATGCCTATCGGCACAACAGACTCCCATGATCCTTCGGACCAAGTTCCTGATCGTGTGACAGGTGCATATAGCCTGAAGCGATGGGGAACTGATCACGACGAACAGTGCACATACATCACTGATGTAGAAATACTCTCCGCATCTGAGCTCGTCGAATCCGCCCAATATGATCCCCCACTGCAGGATGAATGCAGGTTCGGACACAATGCCTTTGTGCGGGGCTGCACCAGTCATCGGTATGGCGATGGTCCTGCCTTATATGTTGATCTCGAACGAGATGCTGTTTCACTCTCAGAAGACGAGATAGAGATCTCAGTGGACATAGACAGCATCATATGGACAACAAAGGTGTTCCGATGCAAAGGGTCTGTTGGTGTCTACATCGTTCCGCCTTTCCAAACGAAACCAGGCATATACAAGCACAATCACACCTATGTAGAGATCACCATACCGCAGTCGGAACAGGATGCAAATTCACCCGGTGGGAGGACTGAATGGCTCTCCAAACGATTTCCTATGTCTGCCATCCCTCATGTCTGTATGGGCCGCATATCATCAGCATCATCGACACTCAATCTATACATCGCGTTCCCAAGGATGATTCATCAGCACCCAACGAACGGTCGGAGAATCACTCTGATGCCAAAGGAGGTCTTGGACATATTCTGGGATAGGGTACTGCTTCCATCGATTGGACAGTGCACCGACGTCAGCTGGGAGCCCTACCTGAAACACACATTGGAGGAAGCACGTTACAAGGCCAGAGGTGCGGACGGGAGAAGGGGCGGATGGGGACCTCCTAAAACCATCCCCCTCTCAGACGATGACTTTTGTGACGTGCAGAAACGCATGGAAGCTCGCATACGTGATGGAGGACCTGAGCTCACATGTATGGGT